TGTATAGGTTTAAGTGAAATCATGGCTACAGCTGGTAAAATACAAGTAATAGACTATGTTGATTCAATCATTCCTGCAGTAAAGAAAGCATTAATTGATAAATCTGGTGATGTTCGTGAAGCTGCTGCACAAGGTGAATATTTGAACATATTATTTTCATTACATTTTTCTTATAAACCATATTAAAGAAAACATCATTATTATTATCGTCGTCGAAAGCTTTTGACACACTTTTGCAACATGCTGGAGAGAAGGCAATAGATGAGATATTACCATCTTTATTAAATTCATTAAAGTCCGGAGAAGATTCTGAATATGCACTTGAAGCATTAAAAGAAATTATGGCAATTCGAGCTAACGTAGTTTTTCCAGTATTAATACCAAACCTTATTTCGGTGCCTATCTCTGCTTTTAATGCTAGAGCTCTAGCCTCTTTGGTGAAAGTAGCTGGTCCAGCACTTAATAAACGGTTGACTAATATTCTTAGTGCACTTATGACATCATTAGGAACGGAAACTGATGAGGCGATTATTTCAGAGTTGAAAGAAACCGAAAGGGCCTTATTGCTTTCGATTGATGAAACAGATGGACTTCAAACATTAATGATGATGCTTTTTGAATCAGTAAAAAGTGACGATCCTGTTAAACGTTCTTGTTCATGTGATGTACTTGCGTTATTCTGTAATGAAAATAAGATGGACATTTCACGATATATTCCTGAATGGATAAGAGTGTTGATATTGCTTCTTGATGATCGACAAGATGATGTTGTGAAATCTGCTTGGAATGCTTTGAACTCTGTAACCAAAAACATAAAGAAAGACGATCTAGAACAACTTGTTACAACCGTTCGTCGTGCCATAAAAAATGTAGGAGTTGCTGGCGTAGATTTGCCAGGTTTTTGTTTACCAAAAGGCATTGGTCCAATTCTTCCGATTTTTTTGCATGGATTAATGTATGGTACTCCTGAAATCCGAGAACAATCTGCTTTAAGTATTGATGATCTTGTTCAGAGGACATCTAATAACGCTCTTAGACCTTTTATTACTCAAATTACTGGACCACTAATCCGTGTAATTGGAGATCGTTATCCTCCTCAAGTGAAGGCTGCAATACTACAGACTTTAAGGTACATGAAGAATATTATAATTTTGGAGGAAAGTTATAATTTTTTCTTTTTAAAAAATGAGTACTAACATTTATGTTTTAAAACAGTTCACTGCTTGACAAAGTACCTGCACAATTAAAACCCTTCATTCCCCAATTACAACGCACATTTATTAAATCTTTAACTGATCCATCGAGTGTTGTTGTACGTTCACGAGCAGCTTCAGCTTTAGGAATACTGATTTCACTACAAACACGTGTAGATCCTTTAGTGACAGAGTTGGTTACTGGGGCTAAAACTAGTGACCCAAGTTTAAAAGAAACAATGTTAAGTGCACTTGAAAATGTCGTGAGTAAAGCAGGGAATGGTATGAGTGATGCTTCTAAAAAAGGTGTACTTGAAGTTATTGCAGATGGGTTGAATGATAAATCAGGTTTTATTTTGATTTTTTTTTAATTTATTGGCCAAATAATGAATGAAGATCAAATTTTACTGATATATGTATATATATAATTTTTTATTTCATTTGAAAGATGGGGTGGTTACTGGAGCAGCTCGTCTTCTTGCAAGTTTATGTAAATATCTCACACCTTCAGAAGCATTGCCAGTTGTAACGTAAGCGATATCGTGATAATCATAATCATTTATATATATATATATCTCGGTAAAATTAATTCTCCAGTTTCCATTCAATATTAATTTTTAAATATGACTATAATTATATAAAGGACACATATTCTATGTGTTAAGCCGCCAACGTATAGCTCTCTCACATCAATCAATGCAATAATAGTTGAGTCACCGATGACATTCATAGATTTAAAAGTTGTTGGTGCGATTACAGACATTATAATAGCTGGAACCACAATTAATCAGGTAAATTAATTTTATAATGTTTAATAATCACGTTTATTTTGGTTTCTTTCTAATCTGTTTTTTTTTTAGCTGAACGTTTCTAATGCTGCTGTAAAGGCCATGGGCAAAATTATGTTTTCGGAAAAATATCATGATGAAATAGTTACAGAGAAATTTATGAATGCATTGATTAATATCATTAGCGAGCCAACAGCATCATTTTCAGAAACCAGACGATTAACTTTAATCACACTTACTATTATGGGCAGAAGACACCCAGAGGTGAATATCGTTTCATTTTTGATTTATTTATTAAATTTGTTATATATTAAAAATATTTTATTATTAAAATAGCCACTGGAACCTCATCTTATTACTGTAATTCCACTCATTGTTAATTGTGGTCATGATAAAAATGTCCCAGTAAAATTGGCAGCAGAACGTGCATTGATATATACTTTGCAACTCTTAGATGGTGATAGCATGTTACATGTATGTATATTATAGTTATTACGTGCAATAGTGGAAATTATAACATGTTTACTGAGTTTAAAATAGGGTCGTATAATTGTACTATTTTGAATATCAAGGAATCATGCTACAATTTTAGTCATTTTTTAATTATTGGATATTGATGCATTCAATAACTGGTTTATCGTATGTCGGATTTTGAAATGAACGTATAACATGTTATAATTTCCATAAGCATGCAATAACGGAAATTATAGCACGTCTTATTCCATAGAGACATACAATAAATATATATATATTGATTTGATATAGATTTTGAAGATTTTTTACTAAAAACCTCATTATTATTTTATTATAGCATATGATATCAATACTTGAACCCCAAGCAAGCAAACATCTTGTTGAATATCATAAACGAGTTTTAACAAAAGCAGTATTAGAAGAACATGAAAGGGTCGACAAAATTAATGCAGGGATTATAACTGTCCCAGAAGATGACGATGAACAAGAAATTTGGATAGTTGGAAATTCGGCAACATATGATTTTCCTAATGAAAATTAATAATAATAACACTAAAGCGCTAATTTTCATTCATTATAAATTAGAAATATATAATTTAAATCTGTATTTAATAATTTTTTTAAAAAACAAAATAAAATACACATTAGTGTTCTTATTCGTAGCCCTCTATTCGGATATTTGAAACTCTTGAGAATTATTATTATTATTATATTAAATATATTCGTCTTCGAATCGATAATTTAAAAAGACAGCTACTCAGGTGCGAAATCCTATTACTATTATAAAACTCTGGGGCATTACGATAAAATTTTTGGGGATCGGCCATTTTCCGATTACACGTGTATTTTTGGATTAAAAATTTATTATTTTAGTATTAGTATTAGTTTCTACGAATTCATTATTATTATTCGAATTATTCATTTTATTAAAGTTATTCGTTTATTCGTTTGTTCGTTTTGTTCGTTTTGTTCGTTTTGTTCGTTTTGTTCGTTTTGTTCGTTTTGTTCGTTTTGTTCGTTTTGTTCGTTTATTCAAACTAATTGAATTATTCGTTTTATTTGTTTATTCATGTTTATTCATTTATTCGCTTTACAAAATATTAAAACATTAATCATAACTTGATACAACAAATTCTATATTGTTGTTGTTGTTGCTGTTGTTAAGGATTGTAAAACTATAAATAAGGTCTTATTTCCTTTAACAAGATAGTATGATTATATTTATAATCTATATTACTACTACTATGTTTTCTAGTACTATGAAGAAAAGAAAAGAAAAATGTCAATCACTTCTGCTACCATTATTTATTATTATCGCCGTATACAAGAACTACGTAAAGAGAAATATTTTAATTAGCAATGTGAATATATTATTTTATTCAAATCGTTTTACTCAAATAAACTTTCAATGTAATTTGAATACTCAAATTCATAATAATAAAAATAATAATAATGAATAAACAAACAATTCGAATAGAAACCCTACTTATATTATTTAAGAAAAATTTTTTAGTCTGATATTTTCCGATAAATTTTTCCCAAACCAGGCATTCCCTTGATAATTTTGATCACACATTTCGCACCCTAATCCCCAACATATTGAGATAAGTTTCTTGACAAAGGGGTATTGTGATCCCAATGGTAGAAAGTTCTTTATTAGACCTAGGTTTCTTTTTAAGGTGCCTGCTAGCACTTGTTGATCCACCATCCATTGCCTTAATTTGTGCGATCAAAAATATGTCTTGCTCAGACTTGGAAAGAGCTTGAAAAGGTTCCCTTAATCCAACAAATTGTTTCTTGGGAATTCTCGAAAGGGTATGTATGCAGTTGAGTACAGTACATTTCGTGAAGTGAGTATAGTACAAACATAAGTAGAATTAGATTGAGTACAGTAAGTACAATTATAGGTCCCACACACCCAATTTGTAGTCAACTAAACAGTTGACTAAAATAGTTGACTAAATAATCGATTAAAATAGTTGACTATTTAGTCAACTAAGATAGTCAACTATTAGTTGTTCAAAAAAAAGTTTAATCGACTATTTTAGTTGATTCCAACTTCTAGAAATGCCGAAATAGTTTTTCATGGTTGTTTTTTAAAAATACTCTCATTTGATCTGACTTTTTATTTACTTATTAATGTTTAAATTTTTTTATATTTGTGATATAAGTTTTTGTTGCAGTAAATTTTTTATGATTACCTTTTGATTTTCCAGTCACGTGTGATCGACATTTTAAATTATAGTTTATATCACATGATCACAAGTACAAAGTCGATCATTTCAAACACCCAAAAAATGAATTTTCGAAAAAACTCCCACATTATTTATTTATACCTGTACTACTACTACCCATTATTATATTGACAAATATATAAAGTTAGATTCAAATAAGTGTTGGTTATATTTTGCTAATGAATATGACAAAAATGGACGGACATTTATATAATATCGTTATTATTTAAAGAACATATAAACATTCCAATCTTAGAAACCTAATTAATAATCTATACACTTTAAAAATAATAGCTGCCAATTCTTCAACAATGTCAAACAATCTTCTTAATGCTGCACTTAATGCTTTAATGACTAGCCAAAATGTTGTTTCGGAAAGCGAATTTAAAACAAAACAAACCCGAGGTGATCCTGGTCTTTATCAACGGGTTGACTTGGCTTCATTTCATCAAGTAAATCTTATCGGTGGTAATGTAGGCACTCACTCAGACCAGAAGTTAGAACCCAAACATCAAGACATGACGATTAATGTGAAAACTCTTACCGGTAGACACATTCCAGTACCTATCAGTAGCCTTTCGACCATTCTAGAATTGAAAAATAAAATTGAAGATAAAGAAGGCATTCCACAAGACCAACAACGTTTTATTTTCGATGGTATGCAATTGGGTGAATTTAAAACGCTCTCTGACTATGGTATCAAAAATGAAGATACGGTGCACCTTGTTTTACGTCTTCGTGACGGAGATCGCAATGTAATTAGTTGCTTGAGTTCTGATTTTTTGGATCCAAGTTATAATTGTGATTTTACAAATGTTAATGATGGAGCAACTGTACATATACGTGGTGGTGTTCCTTATCAACGTCCATGTGGATGGCAACGCCATGCTTTAAAGGTTTCTGGGAAGTATGATAATGGTAATGACCAATGGCTTGGTACTGGAGCGAATGCCTGGCCGGTATCATATCATGGCACGGCCAAGCATAATGCGCAATCAATTGCTGATGCTGGATCCTTATTGAGCAAAGATAAACGTTTTGATTTTTGTTATGGTATTTATACCACACCAAGTGTGAATGTAGCTGAATTGTATGCACCGGAATTTGAGTTTGGGGGGAATAAATATATCATCATAATTCAGCATCGAGTAAATCCAAAGAACTTGGAAAAGATTAAAAGTACAACCGGTGCTAATGATTGTTGGATTTCAAAGAGTGGCGAAGATGTCAGGCCATATGGGATTTGTATCAAAAAAAAGAATTAATTGAGTATATACTAAAATAATAAATTCTTTACATGTATATGTATACATATATGATATGATGCATTTATTCATTTTGAATTGTTAAATAAAATGTTAAATTTTGTTCTAAATAAATACTGAACAAATATGCCTTGGGAATTCCGTAGACTTCAAAAAAAATCTGAAACTAACTAATTGAAACTTAGTCATTTTTGTGAAACAAAAAAATTGCTATTTGGGAAATTTTAAGATGTTGGTTTTATCATTATTTATTTATTGTTTATTGAGAGGTAAAAATGAGTCAATATAAATTTGAAACTTTAAAAGTAAATTTTCCTTTGGAGAATGTTATTCATGTGGAATTATCACGACCTTCTAAACTTAATGCCATTAATAATCTGTTTGTAATTTATTTATTTATTTTTGTAAAAGAAAGAAATATAATTAATTTATATGATTAATTTTAGTACTTGGATTGAAATTGGTAAATGTTTTTCAACTATAAAGACGGATCCAGATATTAGAGCTGTGGTTATATCAGGAGCAGGAAAATTATTTACTGCAGGAATTGATGGTAAAAGAAAACTGGATAATTGGAGATATATTTATATCATTATCTTTTTTAAATAATTAAGATCTTATTATAATAATCATATTTATATGTGTATGATTAGTTAACAGCTTGGGATCAACTTTAACGATAGATAAACCAGATGCTGCTAGAAAAGCAATTACAACACGTAATACACTATTGGTAATTTGTTGTTATAAAAATTAAAAACTTAATAATAATTTTTTTAAAATTTTTTTAATCAAACCAATAATTATATATATAAAGTTATTTCAAGAATCAATAACTGCGATAGAAACTTGTTATAAGCCTGTTATTGCAGCAATTCATAATGCATGTATTGGAATAGGTGTTACTTTGATCACAGCTTGTGATATTAGATATTGTTCACAAGATGCATTTTTCAATGTCAAGGTATTTTTATTTTATTTTTATTTTTACTTTTATTTTTGATATAATGATAATGAATTTTGAATTATTTGATTATATTTGATTCAAGTTGATTATTATTCATTATATGTTTCAATTAATTTTTAGGAGGTTGATTTAGGTTTGGCAGCAGATGTTGGTAAGTTGTGTTTATAATGTCAGACAATTATGAAAAGATAGAACACTTAAACATTGTTATATATTTAATTTTTTAACAATAATAATCAATAATCAACAATTAAAATGTAGGAACATTACAACGTCTTCCAAAAGTTATTGCAAATGATAGTCTAGTCAGAGAATTATGTTATACTTGTCGAAAGTAAATTTTAAAGATTTTAGTTTCTGTTTTAAAAAAACTTTGTTAATTAATGATTAAAACCGAATTTGCTTTTTTTTTAAAAGTATGTTTGCAGATGAAGCACTTTCAGCTGGTTTAGTGAATAAAGTATTTCCAACAAAAGAAGAAACATTGAGCAAGTGTTAATGATTTAATAACTACTAATATGCAATATTATTTTATTACTATACTATACTAACAAGTAAATTATTTTTTTGATCTTTATGTAATTAATTGATTGATTAATTAATAGAGGAAGCAATGAACGTTGCAAAAACCATTGCGTCAAAGTCACCAGTTGCGATAATGAGTACAAAGTAAGAAAATTGTATTTATTTTCCTCGTCATCAAAGTTATTATCATCTTTGCTCTTAATTAATTAAATTTTTATTACATTTTTAATAATAATACAAGACATCTTTTAAACTATTCACGTGATCATTCTGTTGCTGAAGGTCTTGAATACACCTCGGTATGGAATGGTTCAATGCTTGATACTAAAGTGAGTTGATAATTACTTGAAAAAAAATTTTTTCTAAATTATTTTTTAGTTACTATATTTTAATTTTTAATTTATTATCATGATTAGGATGTGACTGACTCTATTAATGGTTTTATGACAAAAACCAAACCAATCTATTCAAAACTTTGAACTAATTGATTCTTTTTTTAAAAAAATTTTGTATTTTAATTATTATTTTACATATATTATAATCAAAAATTTTTTGTTGCAAATTTTTTTTCTACCTCTTAAATTACAATTAATCTTAAAAAAAAAAAATAAATCCTAAATTATAAATGAAAAAATCTTGATTCATTGTATATATTATATATTTGGTTTTGAAAAAAAAAAAAAAATCCTGAAAGAAAATCAACAACAACTTACTCTTTTCACATACAATTCAAACATATACATACATACATATATTTTATTTTTTAAATATTTAAGATATGAATTACTAAACATCAACATCACCGCCAACTTCACCACGATCATTAAGAATAATATCAACAACTTCACCACGATTATTAATAATAATATTGTCATAATCATCACTCAATACAAGAGCCTCACTAAAATTATTATCAAGATTATCGTCATTGTTGATTTCAACATTAGTAACTTCATTTTCATTTTCATTCTCATTCTCATTCTCATTCTCGCCACTTTCAGAATTGTCGGAACCAACAGTATCATCATTATCACCACTATTATTATTATTTGCTTCTATATTTGTATCTCCATCATCTTGATCATTTGTATTGTTGGTGCCATCTGGTACATCTGCTTCTCCTTGTTGTTGCTGCTGTTGACTTGAAACTATGGTTTTTAAACACGATCTTAAATCCTTGACTCCCTTACCACTAAAAACACAAAAAACTTGTCGTTGATGAAGTGTAAATTCTTTTGGTGGTTGTCTACAAAAAGTTTGCACATCCTGTCTTAGAAAAGCGGGTACGCCAGTTAAAGAAAGATGTGTTAGATGATGACAAGAATTAACTAATTCTGAAACTGCTGGAATTGTAAGCCGTGAACAGTATGACAAATGTACACGTTCTAAAGTGTGTGTGACTACTCTGTTTTCAATTAATGCATAAATGGCTCGATCAGTAATCAATGCACATTTCACCAATCCAATACGACGAAGTTTTGGAAGGTGTGACAATTCAAAAACTGATTTGTCCGATAAAAGAATACAACAAGCAAGATCAAGATATCTTAACCTGGTACAATTACGTGCCAATTGAACTATTGATTCATTTGTGATATTTGAACAATGGCCTAAATGAAGATAGTGCAAATGTTTTCCTAATCTTGTGATGTGATTAACTCCCTCGTCTGTAATGTTTGTGCATTTGGCCAAAACCAGATTTCGCAATTTTGGCGAACTGTGAACTATTTTTTTTATTGCTTGATCAGTGATCATTGCGCATGATGTAAGATCGAGGATACGTAATTGATCAAATGATACTGGCATTGATTTGATGAAAGGTCCTTCAGTCAAATACGCACAATAAGCAAGTCGAAGTTCTCTTAATTGATTACAATTTTCAAAAACTGGTTTGATTGCATCATCCGTTACATGGTGACAATTGGTAAGATCCAATTCTAACAAGTTGGAACAATTTTCAGCTAAATCAATAACAGATCTGTTGGTAATGTTCTCACAACCGCTTAACTTTATCTAATAAGAGAGTGTGAGACATTTTAGTAAAATTAATATCACCAATATTTTAATTAGTTAAATTCCAAAAATTTATCCAAACATTAAATATGATCGCTTACCCTCCTTAAGCCTTTACATCTTGACGCAACAGCTGTAACTCCTTTATCAGTAATATTTTTGCACATGCTTACATTCAAACCTTGCAATCTTCTACATCGCTCGCCCACCAATTCAATCACAACATCGGTCAAACTTTCAATATCTGACATATCCAATGCTATCAAGCCTTCAGTTTTATCTATTAATTTTAATAAACTTTCATCGGTCAACTTTTTACACCCTCCAAGCGTCAACCTTTCTAATCTTTCACAAGAACTTAATCTAACAAGGATCTGATCGCTAAGATTTTCTCCCAAATAAGAAAAATTAAGACGACGAATAAGAAGTGAGTAAGGAAAAGTTTGAGTTGTTCGCGATATTGCTACTAGCAGTCTAATGAGAGAAGCATTTCCAGTAAAGATTGGTTTATGCCATAAAAGTTCAACTCCACACCTACACCACGATTTACAAACTAAAATACATGATTTTAAATCTGTTGTAGTTGTAACAAATTTGAATATATGAAACACTAATTCTGATGGTATGATGGCTGCTTTACTTGGTTGTTTTTTATAAAGTTGAATTTGTTGTGTATCTTGTGTTAAGTTTATTGTTTCAAATGTCATTTTGTTTAAATTATTTATTTTTATTTATTTGTTTATTTAAAAGAATTTTTCAAATACTCCTCTGAAAGAGAGAATCTATTCAAGAAGAATTAAATAATAAAATAATAAGTCAAAAAATGAATTGAATTGTATGTAAGACAAAATAAATTTCCAGTAATAGCAATAGTAATAAAATGACAAAACGAATTAATTTTAATTATTTAATTATTCGAGATTATTACAATTATAGAAATTTTAAATGTTTATAATGCAAATAATAACAACAATAACAAATAATAGGTAAAACGCCAAAATTTTAAATGTGGTTAAAAAAAAATTTATTTGAAAATTACGAAAAAAATTATATTGTTTGAAGTTTTCAAAAGCCTAGAGAAAAATCTACACGTGATAGATCAACAATGCACACATACACTTTAATAATGATGATGATGATGATAGGTTAAACCATTTTTAGGGTCCTAACAATCATTAAGGCCTAAAGGTCAAGTACGACTCCTTCATGTAAACGAATTCGAAAATATGACTGATACTTTGAACTTGGATTTTTTGATAATTTAAGATTATTCAGTCTTGCAGATTTATCTGGGAAAGAATTCTTGAAGTTTGCATGTACTATTATTAGAGTAAAGATGAACATTGGAAGAGCTCCATATCCACACCAGGTTATACATCTATCCACTTTCATCAAAATAAATAAAGATCTGGTTAGAGGCAAAGCAATAATAAGTTTGGGCTGTCACAAAGTGAGAAGCCATCTTTCAATCTTCCCGATCCTGAAGAAGAGGCCAAGAGGTTTTGATACCAACATAAATTGAAGGGTTGAGTGCTGCTGTGATCTGTTAGAAGATATTGGTATTTTGTAACAAGTAAATTTTATTACAACTGATTAACAATTCTTGGCAAACAACTTTATTATACTTCCTATGTAACATCCAACAATTAAATATAGAATCACCCATTTTCCCAGAGTTAGAAGAAATCTTGGATAGTTGAGTGTGTCATGTGGAAGAGACTGCCATGGAAATTCAAAATATTTGAACAATGTTGTTGGGTGCCTTCAGTGTTTGTAGTGCATATAACATTCTATCACACTAGAACTAGGTTTTATGATATTAAAAGATCTCTTCCGTAAGAAATGGTTGAAGATGCTGGATGCAAACAAATTTTTTTTATCCAATAATACCATATTGTTATTTGGGACCTTTACAATAATCAACACCTTAGAAGCTGTTACCATTAATGAAATTAGAAGATAAATGTAAGAAGATTTATGAATTCTTATAGAATAGGGCCTTCAGGTAATTTTTGCAATAAAAAAAATTTTTTTATTTGTATTATCTATAACAAAACATATACCATCTATGTTTTTTTTTAATATTATTTTTATAATCCTATATAATACATTATCTTAATAACAACAAGACTTTTTATAGATTCTGAACAAAGCATAAAACATGCTTCTAATTTATAAAAGTGAATTTGTTAAAAGATTGGGATCCAAGTGAATTAACGGTTTCCTGGGTGCATCTTTTCTATCGCTCTAATCTCGTCAATTCCGACCTCGTCATCAATTATTTCTTCTCTCTCTTCAGTGTATATTGTCTTTGGATAGGACACAAAGCCAACCATGTTGCATGATGGAGAGACAAAGCGGTGGATCATATCGTATTTCATAGTTTTATATCTTGCTTTTGATCCGAATGCAACCGTCTAAATGATATTCACCGATTATTCATCGGGTGTTGAAAATTTTCACCGGATATTTCTGTGGTACAGAATATTAACCCGCGTAAATGAAATTTTTTTAATATTATTTTATCCACTATTATTACACTATCGCCAACATTCTTTTTATTATGATATATTAAGCAATATGAATACCCAACTGTGTCATTATTAGCTAAAAAATATTTATGCATTGCAGCAACTTCTACAATTGAGTGAAGCTGGAAACACGATGACAACCAAACGAACAAAATCAAATTGTTATTTGAAAGGATTGTATTTCTTAAAAAAAAATATGCAATGTATTGAAAAGTATTTTTCCTGATGAATAAACAATTGTTATTAAATTTAAATCAATGAATATTTCAGTGGATTCGGCGGATATTCGTGAATGACCGATTATCCAGGCGTTGAATTTATTGACTGACCGATTATCCAAGTGTTGAGCTTTGTTATTATTGATTGGTCAAATACTCAAACACTCGGATAATCAACGTATCAAACTTACTGGTGATAAAAAATATTCACAGGAAATTAAAAATCTATGGAAGGATTTTATGCCATTATTTGATAAAAGATTGGATTGAATCCCGACTTTCCATTCAGTGAAATGGCCATTGAAATTTGTAAATTATTTGAAGAGAAAGGAATTATTACTTCTACAATAAAAAACTTTTACCAACGAAAAACCAATCCTAGAAGGAAAACATTAGAAGCGATTCAGAGAAAAAAAAAAGAAAGAGAGACAGAGAGTGAAGATGAAAAAGATAATAAATATTAGTAATAATAATATTATCGATAAAAAATAGCAGTAGTAATAATGAAAGTTAAATTTTTGTCAGTGCTCAAAGAATACAAATGGCTTTGGGTCCAAGCATTTTCCTCCCATGCAAGTGCTCTGACAATTCTTTAACTTGTATTTATGTATTTTTCTATTATCAGTTGAATTAAAATAAAAATAATTCGTTTAATTCTTTTTTTTTTTGCAAAATGGAAAATATCGTAAAAATCGAAGAACAATTAAAAGATGCAAAGGATGAGTTGAAGAAGTGGAAAGAAAAGTGAGAAGAGAGGCTAGATGAATTAGAAGTGGGATTAATGGAGGGGAAATGGAGTGAAGAAGAAAAGAAGAGGAGGGAAGATTTGAGAGACAAATTGGAAAAAAAAAGAAACGAGTTGGTAGAGTCAAAGAAGAGTTGGGAGGTGCTGTACCAGGAGGCATTATGTGAAGGAATTGGTAATGAACAAATTGCATAAAAAAAAATATACAAAAAATTATTTTTCCATTCATTCCATTTCGTTTATTTATGTATAGGCTTGAGAAAAAGTACCTCAGCATGGTCTATAACCGCTAAAACTTACTCTGACGTTTGTAATGAAGTTGGAAATGTACTTGAACAATATATTGATCTCTTCCATGAATATTGCAGTAAGTGCCTTGAACTTCCACTTTACAAGCCAGCTACTAATCATTCTTTCACCAGCAAAACTTTCCAGCTTAAAATACCTTCCACAAGAATATATCGTTCTTCTGAGAGACCTTTTCTCTTGTTGTACAATCTATCTGTGGATGATTCTCAAAATGCTGGAATAACAGACACTCATCACCTTGAGGAAATTTTACATTCAACAGAACCTATTGCTATAATTCTAGGAACCTCTGGTTCAGGAAAAACAAGGACTTTGATTGAATTTTTATGTAAAACATATGGGTTTTATTATGTTGCAACTGTGGCAAATCGATATAATCCTGGATCAATAGACATGGCATATATGATTGAGAATCTGCAATCAAGAATGAAAGATAAACCATCAGTTGACAACACAATCTATGCAACAAGATATAGCAAATGTTTATTGATGGCACGAGTCTATTTGCTTCATTTTATTTTTTCCGAAATTGGGCATATAAGTTCATATAATTGGACAATCTTGCAGTTATTTCCCGAGTATTATTTTAAAGAAATTGACCTATTCAATGAACTAAACATCATGTTTCGTGCACTCTCTGAAAGTGACTTGGACAAGAACTTGCATAAACTGATCAATGGTTTACTGAAACATGTAGACCAGGTAATTATTCTTTATTTTTATATTGCATCCAATACAATCCTTGCAGTTAATAATAGCCCTAACAAAATTTTTTATCTTTGAAGGTCCGATTGCCTGTAATAATTGATGAAGCTGCCCAACTTATTTCTTCAATTGGAAATGTGTTTACTTCCTATAATACTGATGATTTAACTGGAAAATCATTCTATACAGTTATAACAAGAACATACTCTATGATACCTAGACTCTGTATCTTACCTGCAGGGACTGGTCTCAGCATGAGAACAGCAAAAACATTTACTGGATCTCATCTATTCAAAGGTGGCATTATTTGTTATTATTGACAATGGATTTGATTCTAAAAAGGATGTTGAAGTTTATCTCTCAAGTTTTGGGATGCCAATTGATCCCTCTCATGATGGTACTATGCAGTGGCTGGTAGGGAGGGCAAGAATTGCTTCAAATTTTGCAGAAGAATGGATGATTTATGGTGGTGATTTAAAAACACTGTTTACAAGTTTTAAAGAAAGCAACAACATGGGGGAATATTGGATATGATCTTTTGAATATGAAAAATGGAGGTAGAGCCAGAGAAATTGATGGTTTAGATATAATGGACTTAGTTGAACGAGTTGTTTTAAAACATTGGTACACTGGTCTAGAAGCAACTTTTATTCGAGATGATGCATTACAATTATTTGAGATTGGAGTTGCAAGGTTAAGAAGAACAGATAAATTACAGGGTGTTGTCAATGAACCATTGATAGTTGCATCAGCATTATCCTTTTTCAAAAAATATTGCAATTTTTCAGAATATATCTTGAATAAAATGGTAGATTTAGACTACAATCCTAGTACTATAGGATTTCTGTGGGAACAGCTTATTCCAGATGCATTGGAGAAATTATTTGATGGTAAGAAAACTTGTCAAATTTTCAAGAAGAGACTACCATCAGATATTTGGCACATTGCAAATTTATTTTCTAATAAGACTTCTTCCAATGTCCGAGTTCAACATTCAACATCTGATTATAAGCTCCCTGACTTCTTGAAACAGCCTATTTCACCATTTTTTCTTGCAGAAACAAATGCTGGACCTGATATAGTCACACGAGTTGAATCACCAGAACTTGAGAAAAAAATGTATACTTATTTTATTATTATGGTACAATTGATTATTATTATTATTGGGTACAAATTTATACTAAAATGCAGAAATTTATTATTATATTAAGATATGCTGTTTTTAGCCAAGCAAAATTATGGCAAAAAATTGATAATAAAGAAAAAGTTTTATCAACAACAGATTGTACTGGAATCTCAACTGTGTGTAAGTTATAGAGCCAATGTATTTCATCCATACCCTGGACAAGAACATTTAAACGCAACTTGCTTCCCCCAATTTGGATTCCAATAATACCAAATTCGTTCTTATTTGGATTACATCCCTTATATGTCCAATATATACCATCATTCATCTCCCTCCATAATTTTACCTGGTTGTTTTGTTTTTTTTGATTGTCACAAACTAGACGTGAACTTTCAGCAAATACTATCTCATATAATCTATTATTGTTGGTGGTGATGAACATGGCATCAGGTCGTTTCCCAACTCCTCTTTGATCTTTGCTTGCTACACTTTGGTGCTCCTCTGTACTAATATAACCAGATTGTCCAACCGGGAGGCCTTCCTCAGTATTAACAATTTTCTCTAGGCACTTAACATAAAGACTTAACTTCGTTCTTGTTGTTTTCTTTTAAAACATCTTCAATATTCCATTTTGACAGCTTGTGATCAAAGTATTGGTGCATTTTTTTTTTTTTGAAAGTGTTTTTAGTATATACAAACGATTTCATTGGCCAAATCATCACACAAATCTAATTTTTTGATTGGTTTGAAATTTTTCTAAAAAATAAAAAAAAGAATTTATTTTCATGATGACATTCATGATCAATATATATTTTTCTTCATGTGAAAAGGTACAAGGTATGATAGAATTATTATTTGTGATAGTATTATTACCCATTAGTTGATATTGATGTTGATTTTTTTGATGATCACATGACAATAATTAATCACTTAATTCGTGATCCTTTTAAGAAGGAATGTAACACAACATTTGTTAATAATAATACCCATAATCTCAGCACATTTCTAAAATAATGTGTGAATAGTTATAAGAAAGAGGCCTTAGTAACCTAACAAAAAGAATTTATAGATGTCTATTCGCTATTTTTAACTGTTTTTTTATTAAAATATAAGTGCAATAAGATGTTATAGCAGCAAAAACGAAGCGTATTCTTTGAATTTTTATTATAAAATGTTGATATGCGCCCGCCGATCACTATTAAAATCCTTTCCTTCTTAAAAGGATCACGAATTAACTGTAGACTGAATAACTATTATTTTGGAAGAACCAACCATTGAATATGCAAGTTAACATGGAAAAAAATATGTTCGCCTAAATGTTAAAATGGTGTTTCAATTAATTGAGTTTTCTCTTTAATGTTTGTTTTTGAAAATTTATCTAAAAGTTAAAGTAATAAAATGATAAAATGATAATAAACAATACCCAATAACCATTATCTTGACAAATCAACCATTGAATATGCAAGTTAGCATGGAAAAGAATATGTTCGCCTAAATGTTAAAATGATGTTTCAATTAATTAAGTTTTCTTGTTTCAAAACCTATCTAAAAAAATTAAAAATAATAAAATAATATCACCGAGTTAGTATCTATTTCTTCATCGACATTATGATTATCATTGTTATAAGATTTATTTTTTCTTTGAATTCGATCCAAGTTTTGATTGCCCTACAACCCTGGTGTCAGATTTTGTCATATGGTTATAATAATTTTCTACCGCTTTGTTCAAGATAACCTTTATTTTTTTCTCCTTTCTAAGATTGCTCACAACTTCAGTAATCATATCAGCTTTGGAATAATCTTTTCTCGCATAGTCTCGTCGAAAAGCTTATTGAAATTTTGCACGAGTGGATTTGAAGTTCATCTTGAAGCTGAAATGATACAAAAATATTTGATTTACTATGGGCATCTCACCAAAGACAACAGATATTTATACATTGAAATAATCTTACCTCGAGAACCGCTTGAACTATTATTACTTGAAAGATTTCTTGAATAATTAGTTAGGGTATTTTCTTCCTGGAATCTTTGTTGGATCTCTTCACTGGGCAAAGAAATTTTTTTCGGAAAGTTCGTCTATTTTATTATTAAACTCTTCAATTTTATTATAAAGCTCATCAATTTTATTATCCATTTTTTTAGAATGTTTTTTGTTTCTCCTTCAATAAATCAAGATCCATATCAATCCGTTGTTTAAATATGTAGAAAACAAAGCATGCAACGGTAATGAATAGGTATACGAAGAATTTTTTTCCAAATATAAATGTTACGGTGAGGATCAAGATAGGAATTATAATAAAATAATTCTCTAATGGCATTTTTGCGAGGGTTTCGAGGAATTCAGTTGACGTCATCTAAAAATGATATCAATTAGTACGATGGTTTTTTTATAATACGTGGGAACAAGCATCCTACATACCTTTCATTTGATGAATGTAAGAATGATATTTAATATGATTTATTTATTAACGTGTTTTTTAATTGAGTTACTATGTTTTATTGATTTATTTATTAACGTGTGTTTTTTTGATTAATTTGCGACGTTTAATTGATTTACTACGTTTTATTTATTAACATGGGTTTGATTAATTTAACAAATTTTTATTGTATTTATTCGAATGTTATAGTTATGAAGTAGAAAAATTATGCGAATTCGAGCTGTTTTTATACGTATTTCAGAATCTCTCTGGAGTTGATTGTCGATCTACTATGGGTAAACGCTATTAAAGTTATCAAGAATCATTGGTTTTTTTTCAGAATTACATACTAGCCCAGGAAAAAGTTTTGATTTTTTTCCTTAAATACTATATTTTAACCTAGACAACCTTCCTATGAACAAATAATTTTTCTATTTATCTTAGAATAAAGGCGTATCTTAGTATTAGGTTAAAATTGAATTTATGCTGATGATAATCATAATATTAAACATTTATAAAGAAGGCATTAACTAATTAATCGCCAGAAAGAAAAATATAATAATGCTTCTACAAAAATATTATATGACAGTTATACGTAAACAGTAATTGACTCCAGTGAGTATCGAGTCCTTTAAAAAAGGGAAATGATTGCCTCAATGATATTTTTGATGCACTCATTGTTATTCCTGTAGCAAACATAGATGTTAAAGAAGCACTCATGGATATCATTAAAGCATCCATTGATAATAATGTTAGGTTTAAAGAGTTAGAAAATGATGATAGAGAGTATGATGAAAGTTATCGGGGGAATAAAGAAAGATTGCTCGAGTATGAAGAAAGATTGTGGGAGTATGTAAAAAGATTTCTGGATTTAAAGTTAGAAAATGATGATAGAGAGTATGATGAAAGTTATCAGGAGGACAAAGAAAGTTTGCGGGAGTATAAATAAAGTTTGCAAGAGTATGTAAAAAGAACAGACCCAAAAAGACAAAAATTTCAATCTAAATGTATTCAAATCAGCAAGGAAATTCTTGATGAGAATCCAATAGTTGATTATTGTCCTCCTTTTCTGAATGGATTGAAGTTAGATGTCTTTTCCCCAAATAATTGAATTGTGTTATCTATAGAAGGAAGTCAATATTGTATTCATAATTCCAATTTACATTATCAATAGAAGGAATTTTTTTATCGTCTCTTACAATAATTCAAATCGGAAATTATGCTTTGATAAGCCACCAAGTGAGATAACAATTCAGCACTTTGTGTCTCATCCTAGTATTGAAGTCAACAGCATCACTCAAAGTCCATCGTTATGGACGTCAATAATGATCACTAAAAAGCATACTTTTTTCGTCAACATTTTCGTGTCGTCACTAATGCTCCACTATAATGGTCCCAAAAATGACGACGATTCATAAACCAATAATAGTCCAAAGCGGGACTCAAATATGACGATGAATTCATTAACCAATTGTAATTCTAATCGGGACCCAAAGCAGGAATCGAAGTCAACGCAGTGGTTTAAATTTATGGAAAAAAATAAAAAATCCAGAGAAGAGCTTAAAAATACGAATCAAGCTCAAATCAGCCATAACACAAAGGGGCTGGTTGACCGGCACAACCCATGCCATAACCTACAAAAAGTACAACGCAAATGCAAACCAATCGTAATTCTAAGTGGTTATAACCTAACCACATAACCTAGACCAAGTGTGTATAACCCAAGTATATAACATAATTATGTTGTGTACTTGGGTTATACCCACTAACCAAGAAAAAGTCATTGAAGAAATTGTTAACAATTACTACAATCTGAAAATGAAAAGCACTGGGAGCATCAAAGTGAAAAGAAAGCTATCATTGGTCAAATAAGAAGTGGAGAAAACTTTGGAGATAGACCTGTTTAAGGTTGCTTGCCGAAACTCGACAGAGTTTCGCATTTTGAGGTTTCGCAATTTCGGCATAGTTTCAACAGGATTTTTGATAAGGTTTTGCCGTGGTTTCAGCAATTACTAGGGAGGATTCGCCCGCAACCTTAGGTGATTCCGATTTAGCATAACAAATTTTACTTGTTAAAAACAATAATTACCACATGTTATTTAGAATTTATTTATTGATGGTTGAAAAAAATAAAAATTTATAATTACATAATTATGTACATAAAGTTCTCATTCTTACGAAAAGAAAAATATTAATATTAATAACCTTTTCAACCATTGTCTTTCATTATCCTAATTTTCTTTTTCGATTATTTCCCACACTTTTATAATCTTTGATTTGCTCCTTTTTTTATGTTAATCAGTCAATAATCAACATGCATGCATGTGTTTGCAACAAAAATCTTTTTGGTGTTCCGAATTATTCCGCATTAATATAAATATGTTTAGGTTCATTTTAAGATTTTTTTTCAAAAAAGTCAAATACTAATTAATTAGCAATAATAATAATAATAATGTCTGAAGCCAAGGTTACAACTGATATTATCACATTGACAAGACATGTTCTTGATGAACAACGTAAATATAAAGATGCAAGTGGTGATTTGACCACCCTGTTAAATGCGATTCAACTTGGTTGTAAATTTGTAGCTACTAACGTTAGAAAAGCTAGACTTTTAAATTTGTGAGTAATAAATATAATAATTAATAATGATCGATAATAATAATTGAATAATATGCAATTTATGAATTGAAATAAAGAAATTAATGAATAATTCCTATCCTATCCCATCACATCACATCACTTCTATTTCTTTTCCAAATAATTCAGAGTTGGACTTGCAGGTGGTGCAACAAATATTTCGGGCGATGAACAAAAAAAATTAGATGTGATTTCCAATGAGATTTTTGTTAATGCACTTTGCTCATCCGGTAAAGTTGCTGTGATGGTTTCGGAAGAGGATGAACAAGCAATTATCGTTGAGGAAGGATTACGTGGAAAATATTGCGTTGTTTTTGATCCACTAGATGGATCTTCTAATATTGATGCTGGTGTAAACGTTGGTACAATTTTTGGTATTTATAAAATGGTAAGTAGTCAATCAGCTAACTATTTGACATTGGCATAATTTTATCATAAAGTCAAGAATTTTATTGGTGAATGATTATTACATATTAATTATCAAAAAATTAATTTTAGTGCGAAGGATCTACCGGAAGTATTTCAGATGTTCTTAGACCAGGTTCTGACATGGTTATTGCTGGTTATTGTATGTATGGTAGTTCTGCTAATATGGTCATTACACTTGGTAACGGAGTTAATGGTTATACACTTGATAATGTAAGAACAATTAATCGATTGATTAATTATTATAATTTTTATTGTGATTACATGTAATTTTATTTTTTATTTTTTAGGCGATTGGAGAATTTATCCTTACTCATCCTAATGTAAGTGTTAAACAAACATATATCCAACTATTACAGTTAATTAAATAGATAAATAATAATTGCTTTATTTCCTCACTCATTGTTGCCGCTCAACTAACGCAGATCAGAATTCCATCTCGTGGAAAGATATATTCAGTAAATGAGGGAAATGAAAAATATTGGTATGAACCATGTAAGAAATATTTCAATTCACTCAAATATCCACCAGAAGGTAAAAATCCTTACTCAGCTCGTTACATTGGTTCAATGGTTGCCGATGTTCATCGTACATTGTTATATGGTGGAATTTTTGCATACCCAGCTGACAAAAAATCAAAAAATGGTAAACTTCGTATCTTGTATGAATGTTTCCCAATGGCCTTTTTAACTGAACAAGCTGGTGGCAAAGCTATAGATGGTAAAAAACGAGTGCTTGATCTTGTACCAGGATCTATTCATTCCAGATGTCCTATTTTCTTGGGCAGTAAAGATGATATTGAAGATGTAGAAAAATTTTATGCTGATTTCAACAGTGATTGTTAAATTATAAAAAGAAGAGAAAAAGAAAGAAATTAATTTATTACTTATTATTTGTTTTCTAAATAAAGCATTGATGATAAAGCAAAAAAAAAAAATTTTTTCCTACTAATATATATATATATATATAATCATTTGTTTAGTAAAATTGCGCTTATTTGGCTCTGAATTAAAGAAATCCAATGCTTGCTTCCAAATTTCACCTTCACTTATGTTTCTAATAACAATAAAATAAAAAATATATTTGCGAAAATGCGTCACGCAATTACCAATATCACCTGTTTGTATTAACCATTTAAGTTGTATTGTTATTTTTAATTAAATAGAAAATATAAAGGTTAGCTTGTTAAAACCTGGAAAGAGTAGTAGTAACATTTAATATGTTACTATATAACGGCGATAAATTTGCGTTACTAATAGTAATATAATAAATTATTTCCACCTGGCGGAAGAAATTTTGTATATAAAATTTATGTTGAAACCTTTAATAATGCTGTTTCAATTGCATACGATATTTATAATAATGGTTCATCAAATACATCTTTTGAAGAACTTCACGAAAAAAGAGTTTTTTTTATCATTAGTAAATGCATACATGTTATCAAAATTAATTTGGCTTTGACTATTTATATGTTTTTCATACGACTCGCGTCAAAAAGTCACCTGATTGAGTTAAATGATCAACCTATTTCTAGCACATTATAAAACAACTCTTAGAAAATGATGATAAATATTGCAAGGAAAAATATACATTATGTTGAATTACGTAGATTATGCAATGTACAAAAATGGCGAACCAAAAGAATGTAAAAAAAATGTAATGCAACAAGATATTCTACTAGATTTTGTGAAAATTGCATTAATTTTCATGTCATTGGGATGTTTCAGAACCAAGGTTTGATACTTCATTGAGTGACAAATGAAAATGATAACAATCAAAGAATTATAAAGTTACATGTTTAACAGAACAAACATCACATCATCCACCAGTTTCAGCTTTTTGTTATCATAGTGAAGATAAAGGAATAACTGCTCATGGAGTAGATCAACTTTCGGCAAGATTTACCAGAACTTGTAAGAAAATTTTGAAAATTGGATTTCTTTTTTTTCTTTTAATTTTTAAATGATAAAATTATATATATATATATTAGCTGTAAAAATTGGACCAGGTGAACAAAATAAAGGAATTTACATTAATCTGGGTGAAAGAAGAAATGAAGAATATTTATTAACTCATGTGTGCAAGATTGGTTAAAAGCTTCACTATATGTAGTTGTTGCTGGAAGCTGCATTATAACTTGTCCAAAGACAAAATTGAAAGCAATATTAGAATATAAAGAAGAGGTAAATATAATATGATTATTTAT